TATCTCCATCGAAATCGGTTTTCCTTGAATTTTAGCCGTCTTTTTTGGCATAGTCCAGTCATTCTTATCACTAGGAATGGCAGGTACTTTCTCCACTCGTTGCTTGTTATTGACGAGTTTGGACATTTTCATTGTGTGTTCAATCATAATTCTATTCTGCTCTTCCTGGGTTTTGGCTTCTTTTAAACGTTGTTCAAATTCCAAGTGATGAGTCAAATAGTCAGCTCTATACTCCTGGATAAGTTTCTGAATTCTTTCATATTTAATTCTTTCCGCATTCGAGATTTCCTTCTCCAAACTCAAATTTTCCTTTTTTGTTTTCGCTTTTTTCCTTAATCTGGGGTCTTTCAGGAATTCCTTTCGTCTTGAAGTAGAAGGCATGGACAAAGTAGATAATCCAGAATCCGTACAGTCACTCGTCTCATCATCTGTAATTACTGTCCTAAAAAAGGACATGCTATCTGTGTAACCCTACGGGTCATTCTCGAAAATCAAAGAAAATACTCAGAACAATGGCTAAAGAGAACGGTTTTGAGAGATCTGGATCATGCCTTGACATAATATGCAACAAATACATCACTCCTTCTATATTGACAGGCGAAACTATCTGCGTAAAACAAACGTTTGATGCCGCTTCAATCTGCTTACATTTAGCATGCGTCAAAATAGAAGTGCAGTTTGGACGAATAATAACAAAGGCAGCGGTCATTCGTAATGAGTTGCACGAGGAGCGATAAGTCCTAGGGAATCGTACTACAGCAAAATTAGAAACAGGTCAATGTGATAGACAGTCTTTTCAGGGGAATACGGTGGGTACTTGAGCTCCGGAACATCGTCAATCGAAGAATGAAATCGGGAGGAAGTTATCAACAACAGTCCAAACGAAAACGATCAGGCAAAAATTCTCCCAGCATTATCGGAAGAAGTATTGTTTTGTCTCGAACAAAAGGGATGGAGAAAACCAAATCCGCTCTGCCTGAAACCGAGGTGAATAAACTGTCACTACTTACAATAGACAAGACGCTATTAGGTGATCTACAAAAGAAAAGTGATGTTGTAAAACCATCTTTTGACCTAGTCACGTTAGACGATCAAAGTAACTCTTTGGGAAATGTTTACAAATTAGAAATTTCCTTTTCGGTTCGGCACAAGCACAAAACTGCAGATATGCCAAATGATGTTTCGTACCAAACAGACTCGGTAGGTTTGCAAATGCCTAAACATTCCATAAGAAAATTGCCCAAGAGAGCGAGTAGTGTAAATTTACCAAAGTAGAAGAATCCCCAATTCATCATTTATCTATGTTAGTGCCTAATACTGAAGGGTCAAATGGGAGTAAATATAGCTACTTCAGGAATGATATAAATCCAATAGTTTTTTCAGATGTTAATGCCAAATTAAATGTATATGTTTATTTTGAGATCACGTGTAGTAGTTCTTGGAGCAGGTGTGGGATTACCATTGAGAGATCATCACAAATTGAAAATTAAACATCCACAAGGTCTCCCTTTTCAGCCAGGCTAGATATTTAATTAATATTAGACTTAGGAATGTATATTGTATATTACATATTTCAGAAAACTGTACATTCTTTATTGTATGTGTATGACTGAGATTAGTTCTCAGTATTATGTTGTTTATATGTTTATTTACTGGATTCTTGTTGTGTTATCCTTGGTACTTAACCCAGCATTGTGAAAAAATATTAGTGTTAATATTTTTAACTGTGGTAAACGGTAGGAGGAATTGGAATTCTGAACCCCCCCCTCGAGGAGGAGAAGAGTTGTAACATATGCACACCTCTGACACACAGGTGCTTAATGAGAAGAACTTCTGTTTTCAGAGACTAATCGTCAGTTAGAACTTTGAAGAAAGGTGTTGCAGAAATCCCCTGGTCCGGCTTTTGGACATAAGGGACATAGTAATTTACCCCACTCCAGGGCATTTAACAAAACGAAAGAGAGGGCCTTTTGTGTGAGCTTTTTATGTAGTGAAAGACTTGGAAGAAGACGCAACGAGTGTCCCGGCTGCATCCAGTGGCCATTGTTTGTCTTATGGCTGTAATGGTTGATTATGTTATTTACTAGTAATCAAGAAATTCTTATTAAGTTTTTAAAATAAATGTTTAAAAGATAACTGTTCTTTCTTTTCACCCAACGCAGGTGTTCAGACATTACACTGCCCAAACATACTCTTTCAGGGTAAGATCTTATGATAATGTCGAACAGGAAAGTGTTGAAAAAGCACGAAGACAAGCAGCAGAAGGCGAGCTGTGTACAGCCAGGCATTATTTTGTTGAAATGTAAGTTTGAAAGGAAGGGCAACACTTCAAGGCATAGAATCTCCTCAGCATATCATCATGCTGTTATTTTGTCATGAATGATATCATTGATGGCAGCCCACACCATAACTGCTGACTGTCAGGCTGTGTGGCGAACGATAGTGAGGTGAGTATCCCACCGCTGTCCTGGTTGTCTTCAGACATGTCTTTTGCTAGTCATCAGAGCTCAGTTTGAAGTAGGACTTGCTGTTGAAAACAATTCTACTCAACAAACAATTGTGGGAGATTGCAGATTGAATGAGCCAGGTACCACTGCAACATGCTTGGTAGTGGGCAATGGTGAGGCATAGTCAGTGCAATTACTTCCGTGATCTCGGTCCTTGTATACTAAGTCACTCATCAGTCGCCATTGTAGTTGCTGGTGTCTTGCTTACATATCAAATCATTTGATAAGGACATGTCAGGGCTTCAAATGCCAATCGAAGGATCATTCCATCTTTGTATACTGTTGCCATTTTTGGTTTACCTTCTTGATGCTCTCTGTGGCCACAGTTCACCCATATCTGCCAACATTGTGGAACGGTAGCATTGCTCCAACCTAACTATCTAGCAGTCCTGCAATCTGACCATCCTGCTTCATTTAGTCCAGCCACACATCCTTCCTGAAATGATGTCATTTTTCATACTGTTTAGAATACCGTTTGGAGGCATTAATGTAGTCTGTGGGGGTCAACAGAACCATATTCTCATGAAACTTACACCTTAGCAATGGGATGTTCTCTGTCTTATATGGCATCCAGATGCTGTACTGCAGTTTGCCAAATCTCCAACTAGTTGATCACTGGCTGCCAAAAGTTAATAATCATTTGCATGTTCTGCAGTAAGGTACAGGCATACATAATTTCATCGTAACTCCTTCTTGGTGGGTCACTTTTTATATTATAAAGTGTATATATATGAAAATTAATTAGCTGATACATTTCCAAATATTAACATGGTACTGCACATTTACAAGCAGACTTGTCAACCTAAGACACTCAAAATTCAGATTTTTCTCAACGACGAAAAGACTAAATCATAAAAATATATTTTTTAATAATGAATTTATATCTGAAAGTTCAGTCACTAATTCTTAAATGCAAACAATACAAAAATACTTACTTGTAAAAAACAATTTTATTACTTGCATCTTTTAACAAAAAATAATACTTTAATCAGTTTTTTTTGCAAATATTATTAACGGTGGCAGATTTTGCTTTCATTAAGAAAGACACATCATAATTCTGTTCATAGCAATTATCACGTAGGCCTGCTTTTGCTAATAAAAGGTTTTCTAATGTGTCATTACTAATGTTAGATTATTTTTTTACATGTGTGTGTACACACACACATATATACTATATATATATATATAGTATATGAATATCAGGAATTATTGTTGATTAATTTTAATAATTTTATTATCTTGGATTTTGATTAATTTCAGATCATTTTAATTTGCAGGTTATTTTATATTTTAAAATACCACTGAAACATATTCTTGCACAAGGGTGCCTCCTACCAAGTCCTGGCTGACCCATGTTACATGTTGGATAATAAACATACATCAATTTCTAATATTCAAAAATATTCCTTCAGTATATATGCTAATACAGTCAAAGGTCGTTAATTCGGACACCCATAATCCGGAATGATCTATAATCCAGACCTCAAAGCTAAAAACTTTCTGTGCATGCGCCGCGTTGGAACATGTGCACAGGCGTTTCACGCGTGCGCATAAGACCTTGACTACTGCGCATATGTGTGTGCGCAAGTGCAGAATACATTTTCGCCTGCGCGTTTTATGTATAACGGACGGTGTAAGCTCTAATTATCTATTTCAGTTAATGTTGCAGATTGCGTTGTTCCTTAATCATGGAATTGGATCAGGCTTATTATTTTTTGCAGACTGTAAGAGCAATTTTATAAAAGTAAACTTGAACTTTCGATTATGTCAAATAGAATTTCCGATGCTGGAACTTCCAAAGGATCTACAAAAAAGTATGTTTCGATGTCCAACAAACAAAAAGTGGAATTGCTGCAAAAAATGGATAAAGACATGAAGAATGTGACAGATAGGTTAGTGAAAACGAAAAAATTTCGATTGACAAGTTAGTCGGTATTTTCGGCACAGCAATTAACGGGACTTGAATAGCGGAACTTTGTAACTGAACAAGAAATTATGTCTTTTTATAGAATTAAAGAGAAAGTATTATCACATAAAATGAAGCAACTTAAACAACTTACATTGAGAGAAATGTTTAATAAAGTAAACAAATAAATATTAAGCTTTTTTTTTTTTTTTTTTTTTTTTTTTTGTAAATTTTGATATCCTTTATATCATAATTGTTCTTTATTTCATAAATTACGGTTTCATATTTTTAATTTTAGAATTTCTGCATGCCATCTTATGAGATTTAAACTGATGATCTATAATCCGGAAAAATCGATAATCCGGAATTGCCAAAGTCCCGACGAGTCCGGATTAACGACTTTTGACTGTAATATTTAATACTATTGTAAAAGTGACTTAGAATTTAAAAATACCAAATTCACATATTTTCCTGTTAAATACATTTGTTAATTTTAAAAAAGTTTTTTTAATTTGTGATAGGACTTGAGGAATAAATTTACAAAAATTTTACTGCATTTTAACACATTAATCTAAGAAATGCTACATTCACTTACATTTTCGTGGTTGATAATGCAAATTATCCCACAATTCTTTTTCTCCATCTTCCAATAACTGTTTGGCTTTTCTTAAATCTTTTTCATCTTTATGCTCATCAAATCTTGCTCTAATTAAACGAGCATGGTAGCGATAAAGCCACCTAAATGCAAAATAAGTAGTAGAAGCATTAAATATAAAATAGACTCTAGTTAGCAAAAACTGAAATGGAAATTTAATTACATATAATATGTCAATAATATAATTATGCAACCAACCCCCTTCCACAAATAATATATTTGACAACTTGCGTGGATTATCATACATTTTTTTGTATTCATAAGCAGAGGATTTTTTTTAAACTTTTCAAAAACTAAGTTACGGGGGTCAGCTTGGATATGGATCTGCTAATCTCGCAAAAAGTGTAGATACTTTTCTGTTAGCAAAGTGCAGGCGATAACTCGCCAAATACAGCACGTTTTAATTTCTTTAGTTTTAATTTCTTAAGTTTACAAACGAAAAATTATTTTAAATTAAATGAATTAGTTTGTTTTATGAAAATCAGTTTTTTACTTTCAAAACTGCTTAAATAGCTGGTTTGTTGTATTATCACCAAATTGAAAAATCTGATGTTGGCAGAATTTGCACCCAGCTAATTGAAAGAAGTACCAAAATATAGACCAGAAATAATACCACAAATAACTAGCATATAAAAATTACCATGGATGACACAAATTGAAACCATATTATTTTTGTAATTCTGTCATGTGTCATTCAAAAGCTTCAAATTTTGTTTCTAGTTATGAAGGGAATTTTTGCACATGCTTAGTACAAGCACTTATGCATAAAATGTCCCTATTTATAAAACCACTACACCATCCTAGAGCCAATGAAATCCACTTGCTTGCTTTGAGCAAATTCTACTTCACCATACTCAGTGCTCTGATTTGGATAGCTGTATAGGTTAAAATAAAAACATTCATTCATGATTCTTGAACCTACGTGGGGAGTTTTACCTCCACAGCACGAAACATAGGCTGGCAGCCACATGCTGCCTTTTTTTATTTTGGCATTTCTGCTAATCCAAGACTTTTTTTTTTTTTTTTTTTTTTTTTTTTTTTTTTTTTTTCTATTTATGAAGAAATGTGGGGCTGCCATACTATTGTTAAAATTTTTAGTAAATGCAATCATCTGTAGTTTGAAATTTGCCATATAAGAATCTCTTCTTATTGATTCTTCAGACAAAAAACAAAATGGCACAGAAAATAAGACTAGCATAGATAACACAGATCAACATAACAAATGAATGGAAAAAATGTGCTATCTTGAGATAAGGTTACTAGAGTTAAAACTATTGTTATGTGCATATAGGCAGTGCAGGTTTTATGTATACGTTACACGAGCTATAGCTGAGGGCCCCACTTTCTCGGGGACCCCAAAAAACATATTTGGCACTGACATATAATATCTGGACTTGTATAAAAGTGCCCCATATCTCAAATAGCTTATCAAGTCTAAATTCGGCCATGCGTACGAGTTCATAATAGATTGAATGCACAAGTCCAATAATAGGTTAATAAAAATTTATTCTTATCTAAAGAAATATATCAGAACGCTGAATTTTTCCTCAGAGATATTTGTATAAGTATTCATAACATCATGCAATATAATCAGTAGTTATGCTTCAAACTACTAAAATATTAAATACAAAGTGCACCTAAAGAGAAAGAAAAACTCAGAACTAAAAACTCGCAATGACAGTAAGTAAGCAATTCAGCTGAGATGCTCTCTCTCTGGCCATTTTATAATTTTTAACCACCATGAGAAATTTCTAGTACTTTCTGCTTCTCGAGATTTCTGGAAAGCAATAAGAGAATGGAATTATGGTTATAGCCAACATAGTGGTCAATTACATTTATTCAATTTCAATATAAATTACTGAGATATCAAAGTTAAATGCATGTGCCCCTGTATTTTTATTTTTCTGGCACAGCTTTCTGTTAAAATTTGTCTCGTGCTGCACTGCAAGGGGAATTACAACAATTTTAATTATAATTCTACTAAAATTATCTGTCTAAATACAAAATTCGTAATACTCTTGCTGTTGGAATCTGGCATTTTACTTTACAACAAACTGACTGGAAAACATTCCACTCATTTTACCTGCTTAGCATCATTTTCACCCTCATGGCGACATGTTTGAAAATTACAGGACACCCACCCCCCATTTCAACTTATATGTGGGTTTTGAATTTCTAGCAAATTTTTTAAGAAAAAACATTCTTTTGCTTATAAACAGATTGGCTTACATTTGGAAATATATAGTAAAAAGTTACATGGAAGTGTGGATAATTATGAGCATAATATTTGGTAATCGTCTTCTACAGCATCCTTGTCAAAGAAAAATGACACTGCCACAATCTGGACTTGAGAAAAAGAGATTTGTTGCCAGATGTTCACGAAACATTCCCGAAAATGAGCCCGGGCTCGAATCAGGGAGTAAATGTATAATGTCTGTGTGGCATGGGGTCATGGTGGCGAATCAGGGAGTTAATGTATAATGTCTGTGTGGTTAGCTGTTCTCTTGAGAGGTTGGTAGTAGAGGGCTGGGAGACACTTGGACCGTCCCCCAGGCTGCCGTTCTTCAAAATTGGGGGTGGAACTCAGCAAAGTTATATTGACACCTGTATGGTACTCAAGGCTCTTGCCAATGACAGTCGCAATCTTGCACTCCATGCCATAATGAACTTTGTGCGCTTGTTTTGATGTTACTATCAGACAAACAATATAAGTCACAACAATAAAACATGTCATTTAATATATACAGTGGTGGCCAAAATTGTGGACATTTTGGAAATTTTTATGCTTTTGAACTTTGTATGCTTATAGAAAATGTTACGTTTCGCAAAATGCAAACTTGTATATATCATTTTAAAGAGAATTTATTACTGAATTTAATACAAAACACAAAATTAAATTATTTGCAGTACAAAAAAAGTTATATGTACTTTAGATAAAAAATACAGTTATGAAGTGGTTTGTAATGTCTAGCTTTCCTGGCCAATCACTGTTCTTGTTCTGAGAAACCAATCAAATGTTAGTAACTGCCAGTAGAAGCTGACATCATGTTTACACTTGAAACAATTCATTATTTTGCTTTGTTCTGTAGAAGGAGGACCTGTTTCTTATACACTGTAATTACAAGTAGGAGTTTTTGTAAAAATTTTTAATATTTAGTCAAGAAGCAATGTCATCAAATAAAAGAGTAGATTGGACACCTAGAAAGAGATGTAATATTATTGTGTTACAAGAAAGTGGTCTTTCCTATGCTGAAATTGCAAGACAGGTAGGTGGTTCAGTGACTACATCTGGAGTCCGAAAGTTTTGTTTACGATATCAGGAGACAAATTCAATAAAAAACAAAGAAGGAAACGGCCGAAAAAGGTGCACCACATCTATTGATGACAGAAGAATAAAAAGACAATGTCTCCAAGATAGAAAAATGTCATCAGCAGCCATCAGAAGTGATCTGAATGATGCTGGTGTTTCTGTCAGTTCAAGAACAATCAGGAGAAGATTAACAGATGTTGGACTGAGAGGTAGAATTCCACGAAAAAAGCCTTAGCTTAATTTTCAGCAACAAAAGAAAAAAGACTACAGTGGGCAAAGGAACACATTAATTGGATAGATGATCAGTGGTCACAAGTTATATGGAGTGATGAAACTAAGATATCATTATTCGGTAGTGATGGGTGAAAATATGCAAGACGTAGATAGGAGAAGAGCTACATTCTGACTGCATTCAAGCAATTGTGAAGAACCCAGTTAGTGTTATGATTTGGTCATGCATGTCAGCAGATGCTATTAGTCGCCTTTATGTGATCGATGGGACACTGAATGCCAGAAAATACATTGACACTATTCTAGAACCAAAACTTCTTTCATCAGAGATCTCTTTCCCAACAATGCTTCTTTTATTTTTCAGCAGGTTTGTGCTCCTTGCCACATGGCCAAAATATCGAAAGAGTGGTTTCGTACAAAGAGCATTAAATTGTTGCCATGTCCAGGAAACAATCCTGACCTCAATCCTGTCGAAAATTTGTGGCACCGTTTGAAAACTCTTGTCCGAATGAGGCGCCCATCAAATAAAAGGGAACTAATTGAGGCTACAATTGTTTCCTGGCATCATGTAATAACGAAAGAAGAGCTTAAAACTCTTGTCAGCTCAATGAAAGGTTGATGTGAAGCTGTAATCAAAAATAAAGGATACCCTACTAAGTACTGATAACTCACTGCAATCATCACTATCTAATGTATATAAATAACTATTATCGTTTAACTTTTTTGTATTGCAAATAATTGAATTTTGTGTTTTGTATTGAATTCAGTAATAAATTCTCTTTAAAATGATATATATACAAGTTTGCATTTTGTAAAACGTAATATTTTCCATAAGCATACAAAGTTTAAAAACATAAAAATTTCCAAAAGTGTCCACAACTGTACATACAGAAGGAATTAATATATATTTTTATTTATTATAGTATTTAACAATTTTGTCAGCAATTTATTTAAAACAACAACATAATTCAATAAAACTTACTTTATATAAACTTATACTATATATATTGTATTTAATATTATGTAGGTAATTTATTTAAAATAACAACACACTTAAACACATAATGAAACTATTTATTAAAAAACATATCAGAAAATTCTATTTACTACTTTATTTAATACAACTGGTTAGCAATTTATTTTAAAAAACTACATATACATAAACATACCTGAAAATTCATTTTTTACACTTTTTCTAGTGGCCACAGTTCAGCAATTTCTGCTAATAATAAAGCCTCAAACATCAACTTCTTTTTCCATTGATGGACAATTGAATAGTAAACACAATGAATATTTTACAATGAAAAACAGGTGACACAGTGCAAGTATAAAAAAGCAGTTATGCCGTTAATAACATGTTTCTCGCACATATGCAAATCGGTAACCGTTTGTTTTTCGCAAATGCACAAACACGCCAAATCCACTTTCTCGCTACGGTCGTAAGAGAAGAAAGTACTCATATTTACCTGATAAATATATTCAATTGTTAAGTTATTTTACAGTTATATGTGTGGTCTTGATTCTATTTTATTAGTAATCTTA